GACCGGTTGATCCGCGGAAAATAGCACGGTGAAAATAGTATTGCTGGAGGAGGGATGTGACATTTTCTGCTTGAGTGAGAAAACCTTATATTAGTTAAGTTCTTTTGTCCGATACTCTCTCATGTATTGCCTTTGTGGTGGTAGTAAACTTTGTATCCCCCAACCTCCTTTGTTCCTCAAAAAAGCGCCGCGCGGTAGACAGATACTGTTTGCATGCAATGTGACAACACTTATCGGTTCCCAGTTTGCTGAGTACTTCCAATATTCTCGGTGGGGTGTGTATGTGTGTGGCTCTTACAGAACCTATAGATAGTAATATTATACCATTTAACTCGGAGACCATCGCTTGTGACCTATGTGAAACATCATCCGCCAGTGTTAGACTGCTTCGAAAATCTCAGATATAATAAAATGTTGTATTCGTATCTGCCACCATCACCATCATCAGTATTCGAAATTGAAATATGTGCTTTTGGTTGCGTGTGTGAAACCCAAATAGGTCAACCGTTTATTAATCACGAAGGTATAAGACTGTTTGCACACCCTGTAAAAGAAAACTGCAAAGGCGGATAGCAGGACCTATTATATGTATGTTATCTGATTGGAAATTGTTCTCTCAATTCTTATCTTTTTGCCGTTAAAGTGAACAAATTCAATTATCTAACGGAATTCATTGTGTAGCATTGTTTGTTTGCAGCTACATCACANATCACACCAGCCAATTCATTCCAAAGGCAATACGCGGGTTGATTGTAACGATAGTAGCTATCACAAACATTGCATACGGATGCATATTGACTTCGGTCCTTAGATGAGTCGATGCATTCGTGCACTGTTGATGAGATCTACCTAGGTCAAAACAGTTGTCCAGTAGTTCCCATATTTTCGTTTCAAGCTTCATTTGTTCAGTATAAGATGAAATTCACTATGTGATTATACTATTGATTGATGAGGAATCTACAGAAATCTGAGCTATTTAGGCCGAAAGTATGAGGTTCGTACACACAACTCTCGAATTTAGATGATGATAACCCTCAGCTTCATCATTTTACTCAACAGTTAAAGTTTACAGTTCCACGCTAGCGGGAAACGAGCAAACTAAGATCAAGTATCATGTGAGTAAAGGTTTGTCTTCATCATATTGAGCGCCATGAACAGAGAAAAACGAAAAACATCGTGATCAACTGTCTGCTGGCTGTGTGAGTATTATGTTTGCATTCTATCTGTGCTGAGGTCTCGGGTTCGATTCTCAATTAGATCGCTGTACTGTTCTGATCGGACCAAACCAAGTCGAAACAGTAGTTGTCTTGGGATTCCGAGCTGTTCACTTCATGCTTCATTTAGTCGGTACACGACGAAGTTTCACTATATAAGCAAATCAAATCAAATCGTTAAAAACTATCACGTGAAACTGAGGTTCTCCGTGCAAGAACCAGTCATCTCCGTGTCATGTTTGAAGTTCAACAAACAATAAAAACGTGATCCGGAAAGAGAAACACCCGGTCGCATGGGTCGTGAGTAACTCTTTCGTAATCGGCTGAAAGTCCAAGGGAGGGGTGTATGAAAAAGTTTCATTCCGGCATTCTATGATTTGTAAACATAATATTTTGATCAAACATTTAAATTAAAGCTACTGGAATTTGTTTACGGCAATAGACGTACCGTCATTATTAGCAGTGATTGTTTCAATCAATTGACGGAAACGTAGACAGAGAACGGGAGAGTATATCAATAGTACGGTCTTGTCACGTGCTTTCAAGGATTCGGATAAAACTTGAATTTCTATGTGTCTCCGTCAATATTCAACAGATCATCTGATTCGATGTGTGATAAGCTGGCTATTCCGGGCATAATTTTATTCACACTGTTACCATGTTTCTAGGAAAATGTAGTTTGAAGATAAACTTGTTCGGCTACTCCTGACTGAGAGATACGTGCCCGAGCACCAGTGGTCATCCAAATTCGTCGACTTGCCTAGTTGATCCAAACTTATCATGATATCCAGATATCTTAAGTACTTAAAGAAATACATTTTCGCTTGCCATCGGTTAAGAATAATTCTGGTCAGTTCAATGAGTAAGAATAGAGTAAGAATAAAGTAATCTGAAAGATGAACAACCCGGGCGACGGGGATGGGGGACGTAGTTCACTACCATTCCTGACTAAGCACCTACCTTGATTTCGCGACCTTCAGGAAGGCCTTTGACATCGAACTGCCTGGAAATGGCAAAACTAAGCGTGGAACCGAATGCTCGATCCGCATTGCCAATGATAGATTCAAATGAGACCGTCGCTTTGACCGGATCCAAACTGACCTCAGCCGGTGTTTCCAGAATCGGTTGCGCCAATTTGATCAGAGCACAATCTAGAGAACGATCGGTGTGTAAATATTGAACCAACTGTCCAATTGGTGAGAGATCTTCATCATTTTTCGGATCCCAGTCCTCTTGTAAAACGGAACTCCACGTGGGGAATACACGAATTGGTTCAGATTTGACCAATAACGGTCTAAGGTCCAATTTTAAGGCCTTGAAACTGGACCTGGCACTAACCGGCTAGAATGATGAATGGAACGAGTTGGAGGGAAGGGGTATATAAATTGACGATAACTTTATATCAATATAAAAACCAATACCAGTAAACATCATAAGATTATAAAAATCAAGGGTAAAAACGAACGGGATAAGGCTTCGGAAAGAAATTAGCGAATCCAATGACGATATTCTCGCATTTGGAAGGAATAGTGAGCGGTAAGATGTCAGTCATTGAAGATCCTGATTTGAAGCAAAGTAACTGAATTTGAGATTTTCACACTGAATGTCTGCTTTTTAAGTTTGATTTTATACCATGTCTAGGTATCTATCGGTAAATGTTGAATTATCGCATTTTCATTTAACGATCAAATGAAACCGTTTTAAGGAATGGCACTGCTACATGTGATCTGCATGTTCCCATCGCAAGCGCATAAATGTCTACAATTTACGTCCGATCATAGTGCCTAATTCTTATTAAAAATGTACTCTTTTCAAGTGGCTTGATGTTTGAGTCAGACGGATTCGATCAGAAACGAGCGAGACCGTTTTTTTATTCCTCAGCTCCACTAGTAGCTATGTGTATGGTTAGTCTAAACGTGTTTTGGTTTGGAATCCAGTATTTGGTATGTGTGTGTGTGTGTAATTTAACAATTTGTCAGTCTGAACTCGCATAGCACTGTGGTGAACAAGATTTCGATTTGTTCTTGTGAAAATGTTCATCGGTTGCTATGTTTGCTAGGTTGAGCAAAACCGTTCCGGCGTACACAGTGTACACGACGAGTACGAGGTACCGAAGACCCTGGGGCAAGGAAAACGTGAGTTGTGTGAATAGGGTTCAGTGATTGCAACTCAGACAGAACCAAATATTAACACAGCTCACAAGTCACACGAGGGTTACCGCAATACTCGAATTTTAAGAATGGAACTCAGTCGATACCAATGGATGTGGGCGATGACTTCCCATGACTACAAATGTGGTTTAAAGCACCAGTGGCATCAGCAGCAGTTTTGATCGTTTGCGAGCTGCCTTTGGTGAAGACGCGCCTTCACAAAAAGCATTGTGTTCCCAAATGTCAAGCGCATGATGCGTGGAATCCAATACGAGTCATCATCAGCTGCAGTGGAGACCTTCATGGAACTGGTCGAGGGATTACCGACCCACTATCGATCTGTGCACCAAATGGTTTGAGTGCATGGAACTGTGTGGATGAACGCTGGTGGAGAATACATCGAGAAAATGCACTGCTTATTTTTGTGTAACAAATAAAACTGTTTATGCATCCAGAAATATTTAGCTCAGCTCTCAAGCAGGTATGCAGTGATGAGTTTGGACACTGTTATGGTTACATATGACATAAAATGGTAGCGATCTTCGGCTTTGCATTGCCTCTTTACAAAGTCAAATCCAACTTGATGCTTTAAAATGAACCTCTTCGTTGCAATTGCTACTTCTGCATTCACTAAATAGATATGGTTGTTTCGAATGGCGCATTCATCGACCTCCTCTTGAACATACTTCCAAAGAGCCTCTGTCCGATTGAACCCACTGTCCCGGACCAGACGGATTTTACCACTGAACCCTACCCTACGGAAGAGCGAACACCCGTCCAAGCAAATACGACTATCGAATTCCTCACATGTGAAAAGATCAGTGCTATCGGTGCGGCCTCGTAGCTCACTCAGCCGGTAGAGTGTGCTCTGCACAAAAGCGGATGCGGTGTCCGTTGCGTGAGTTCCAGCCCCCCAGCCCCCCCTCACCAACCCGAGGAGTACTGAAAGTTTCTTAATTTCAATATTTGAACTCAATCTACCAAACAGCGATTTGAAATAAATTGTTCTTTGTCCTCTGTAGAATATCGAAAGTACTAATCATAGCGAAGAAGAGCCATTCAGCATGATATTGCGTGATGACAATTTGTATTCGTGTTGAACCCAGGTATTTTATATGCAATTTTCCAAGTGTCCCCACCCGCCAAGAGTGAACATCACCGCGGAGCAAATGAATTCGGCCCATCCCGCTTGGTTTTACTCAATGATTGAGTTAGTTACAAATCTATCAATCAATTTGCTACCTATCAGGTTTATCTTTAATTTCTGCCTGTTTACTTCCTTTATTATTTATTGAATATATTGAATATACAAACGTACAGTCAAAATTCAGGAAGGGGACCGCGGCCATACAAAGGCTGTGTGGAAAATACAGAATTAGTGAAAACGGGCGGCAGTGGAGCGGTTCGAACCCGGGATTTATGTGTCACAAGTTGGTGACCTAACCAGTTGATCACCACTACCGCCCGTCTTATTTCTGTCCTGTCTTTGGTTTATCTTGTGCGATAAAAATCCTTTTGAAGTTTTTCAGTAGTACTGGTAGTAACACATATCTTCCTCCTACTGGGTCCAGAGATCAAAGCCCAGATAAAATTGTGGATATTCACAAACGATGATCTCTGTCTAAGGAGAGTGAAACTCGAGTGCAGTGCTTCTGGACTGTAAAGATTGACTGGATGAACTGAGGATTTTAAGTGAAGATAAAGTCTGAGGGATGGTCAGTTCCACCGGATGGCATTTATCCCACACATCTGTTCCCAAGCGACTGTGAGTTCAATGCAAGGCGACAGGCACGTTGGAAAATAGGATTTTCGAATATGCAAGCGCTATTATACGCTCCTTTTAAACCGTACGAGTAGAACTCGTGTCAAATGCAGTTCGAATCTCTGTTTGGCAGGCAGGCTGATGATGTTACAACTGCGAATACCGGGTCATCTGAAATTGGAATGCACTTCAACACTACGTGGTGAAACAAATTTTAAATGAAACACTGTGTCCCTTTTATGCATCGCATCAAGACCGAAAAAAGACATACATGTCACAAGGTGGTAACATTTCGTTTATTCTTCTCAATCGCTAATGTACAACAAACAAGCATATTCGATTTGTAAATTTTAGTGAACGGACATGTACAGATAGACAGGGGTTATTAGAATTAAAAACAACAGGTCAACTCCTCAGAAAATGAACTGATTGGGTCAACAAATTTTGGGCACACAGAACGGGATGATGTAATCAGATTAACAGCGCCTCGCTTATTGCCAACAGTTTTGCATTAGTTACATAACAACGGTTTGAAAGAGGAAGCGAGATCAATGAATTGTTTTACACGATATAGCACAACCCATCCTCGAAAGTTTGTTGCGGGCCACGGACCCTGCTCAACTCAGCACTAGCCTCCGGGCTTAGGACTCGGTTGGAAACATTCACAACCTGACTGACTATTTCATGTGAGTAAT